GACTCTCCGATTGCCTCCTTCTCGTGCATAGCCCCCAACCTCCGCCTCACGTTCACGCTCACGCTGACGAGCTTCCGACCCGACCTGCTCCACTTCCAACTTCAGCTGCTCAAGCTTAGCTTCTATCTCTCTTCTTCTTTCACTCAAGCGCGAGACGTACTCTCCGTCGCTCAATCTCTGTACGGGAGAGTAGGATTTGAGGGTTTGGTACCATGTTGGTGCTGCTGTTGCTGATGCTGCTGCTGATGATGATGATGATGATGAATCGCTGGATGTGTTTGTGGCCACTGAGGCTCTGAGATCGAGGGCTGAGGGTGAAGTGGATGCTGAGGAGGCAGACTCGGCAGTGCTGCTATCCTCTGCAGAACCCACACCTGGCCGCAAATAGTCATACGCTATCAACACCTCATTGAGCGCGATCTGACCTGCTCCCGCCAAGAATCCAAAAGTGAGCGCTCCTTTGAGAAAGACCGACCGGCCGCCTTTCAGGAGGTGCAAGCGGGGAGCGCACGGTTGAGCAAAGGACAGGTGACGTGAGCAAGGTGTAGGACGATGCGTCCGCGAAAAAGACTCACGATGATAGGATGCAAAGAATGCTCCGACGATGCTGCCCGATAATGAGCTGGATGCTGTTCCCTCTACGTGCTTCCGAGCACTCCGATTGGCGTGCGCCTTTCGAGGCAATACAAAGGGTTGAACGATATAATTCCTAATGGCTGCATCGCACCACGCCAGGCAAAGCAAGCAGCAACGGTCAGTGTCAGTCAACTTCAACAAAGGCTGCCCCATTTTGCAAAGCGAATTGGATTGGACTGACCAAAGTAGGGAAAGAAGAAGGGAAAGGCATTGAGGCTGGATTTGAAGACTAAAGGTGCGGAGGCTGCGTTCCCTTGTGCTACACCTATCAATCCTACGGTTGAGGCGGTAGCGAACGTGCACAGCGTTGAATAGCTGAGCACTCCCAGTGCCGTGTCTGCCGTGATGCGCGATGGCGATGGCGATGGCGATGCAGGAGGAGATGAGGATGTGCCGCGTACGATCGGGCTAGCGGGTGCGGATGACTGTGAGTGTGCAAGCGCTTGGGGTTGAGGTCGGAGAGGTGTGGAGGATGAGGATGGGTTGGAGGGAGCAGCGCTGGACATGATCGGCTCAGGTCGGCTCTGGTCTGGTCTGGTCAAGCACAGTCAAGTGTTTGGGATCGGGATCGAAGCCGAATAGGACGAGCGACACGGGCTGTAAAGCAACGAGAATCATCAGCGCAGTGTTGGTGGTGGGGAGCAGTGGTGAGCGATGGCTGTGCTCAGCAGACAATCGCATGTGCGGCCCCAGCAGCCATATACTCACGACTCAACTCACCACTGCAGTCACCAGTCGTGGATCATTCGCCGCAATTCGCGCTAAGCAGCCGATTCTTGATATTCGCATTCACGTGATTCGATATCATTTGGCCGTGCGCACCAGACATTTCACGTGATCCAGTGTGCTGCGCGCGCTTCGCGCTTCTCCACGTTCCTGATTTGATTCCTGCTGCTAAATTAATCAAGATTATTGAGTATCGACCAAGGACTCGGCATGAGGCGCCATGCGCTTTTCGTGCAGAGTGCACACACTCACATTCGCCCTCTTTCACGATTCAAGCATCGCTCTACATCCCTCCGGCTCGACTTGGCTGACATCTCCAAGTGTGATGGGAACGGCCCGGAGTTCGACGCCGCCTCGATCTCGTTCATAGATCCTTTTGCAAGGGTCGAGCAGTAAGCCGCTCCTTTCAGACGACCCCTTCGCACTGCGCATGCTCCAGCCAACTTCACAAAAGTGTGCCTCGTTCCCTCTATTCAACCTCGAGTTCAACGGACCAACTTGAGATTCTTGCGCGTCGCAACGCGTCCAGCTCTATTCGTGGGTCCAGCTGGTGCAAAAGCATGCATGTCCACCTCTCCTCCACCGCTCCAGCCCTCCCTTTCGCAGCACCTTCAACTTCGGACGCAAGAGAAACGCAAGCGAGTGCCAGCCACATGTCGAGCCACAGCTGCGATATCGATTCGCAGAGGGAGAGGCAAGAGGTGGAAATTGGGATCATTGGAATGGGAGATATGGGCCGATTGTATGCCGAGAGGTTCAGCAGCGCTGGTTGGAAACAGTGAGTGGGCAGTTCGGTCAGAGGAACACGATGCGAGGCTAGGCTAGGCTAGGCGAGGTCCTGATGTGGGCATTAGATCGGCCTAGGCGTGAAGAGCAGAGTCAGGGCATGGCAGAGCATGGCAAAGCAGAGCTTGAATGGCTGACTTGCACGCTCACTATTTTCGTTCAGCGTCAATGTATGCGATCGATCAGAAAATTACGAGAAGCTCAAAGACGACTATCGAGGTGTGTGTATAGTCTTTTCGCGGCATGCATGGTGCTCCAAGCCAATGGATCATCGCATTGCCCAACTCTACTCGTCTTACATCAACCCCCCGCATCGCTGCACAGACTCTGCGATCCGAGTGTACAGGAATGGACATTTGGTATCTCGCAGGTCAGATCTGATCATATATTCCGTCGAGGCTGCATACATCGACCAAGTGGTAGCTCAGTATGGTCCATGTAAGTCAGTCTCAGACGCCCAGCCAGCAGACTGGTCATACGCGTAGTCGATCGCTCAACACCAACTTTCTCTGTCTCCATCTGCGTGCACGTTTGCTTGCTTGCTCAGCTGCAAAGCAGGGCAGCATCATCTCGGGTCAGACCTCGGTCAAGGCTCCCGAAAGGGACGCTTTTGAAAGACATTTACCGGACGATGTGTACATTATCTCTTGTCATTCTATGCATGGTCCCAAAGTCGATCCGACAGACCAGCCATTGGTGAGAGTCGTTGGCGCCCGCTTCCTTGCAGAGCAAGACGATTCGACGTGACGTTGAAGCTTTGTTCTTCATCGCTGGTGGACACAGATTTTGATACAGCATCGAGCGCCGGATGAAAAGATGCGATTGTTGGAGAGAATCATGAGCTGCTTCAGATCCAGATTTGTCTATCTGAGCTACGAAGATCATGATATCGTCACTGCCAACACGCAAGCTGCTACCCATGCCGCTTTCCTTTCGTAAGTGCTAGGCGTCGGCGGGACGGTGCGGCAACGCTGGCAGCTGACGATGGAGACTTCGTGGCTTCATTGTTGCAGGATGGGTACGGCTTGGAGAGCTTCGGCGTCCTACCCTTGGGAGACAGGACTGTACCCGGGCGGAATAGAGACGGTAAAGATCAACATTTGTCTACGAATCTACGCTGCAAAGTGGCACGTGTACGCTGGTCTAGCTTTGCTGAACCCATCTGCGCGCACACAAGTGGGCCAGTATGCCGACAGCTGCACGGAGCTCTTCAAGCTCATGGTGGCTGAAAAGGAGGCAGAGTTGAGGGAAAGGGTGATGAGGGCTAGGAGAGGCGTTTTTGGATGGAGAGATGAAGAGGAGGGGGAAGGAGCTAGGACGACCGGAGCCAGAGCTTATGCGGATGCGAGAGGCGCAAAGGATGAGAAATCGTCGGAGAGGGAACGCAAACCGATCTTGATGTCGGACAAGATGCTGGATCGATTTCATCTGGTTGCGAGAAAAGCCTTGGGCGAGGGTTCTGCTTCGTCGGCGGATCCAAACAGAGAAGGCACCCAAGGCGAGCGTCCCGGACTAGATTCTGAGCGGAAACCTTTCGCAAGCAGTGAGGCATCTCCATTTTTGCCATCATCATCCTCGTCAACGCCCCCATCACCGCCGCCCAACTCTCACTTGGCATTGCTTGCCATTGTGGACAGCTGGCACGTCTTGAAGCTGAACCCGTACGCCGATCTGGATCTAGCCGCCACGCCCATCTTTCGCCTATGGATAGGCGTGTGCGAATACCTTTTCCGATCGCCCGCTCGCATCAATAGCGCCATCTCTGCCGCCATACACGACCACACGTTTAGAGCAGACGATACGGAATTCGTCGTTGCTGCGCGCGGATGGGCTCAGGCGGTCAGATTCGGCAATTTCGACCTGTTTAGATGGAGATTTGAAGAGACCAGAGAATTCTTTGCTCCTCGATTCGAAGAGGCGAATACGATTGGCGCAGAAATGTTGAAGGCGGTTGCTAGCAAGGAGTAGGAAGTGCAGAGTACCTTTTTTGTCTTTCGGAGAAGGACGCGTTCGACGTTGGCTGGAAGGGAGGCAATGGGAACATGGGGTGCGGGTCACGATTCGTACGCTATCCACCACATTTCGGACAATGCAAATGCGATTTACAACATCGAGCTCTGCCCGTCACTTAGACTGTGGGCATATCAAACAAGGGGCACGGGCGTAGCAGAAGCTTGAGCAAGGCTGCACTTCATTGCTTGATTGCGAAAGAACATGAGGATGTGCGCGACGATCAGCTCTTTTGATTAGACTGGCTGATGGGCCAGAAGAGCGATTTGGAAGTTCCTGACGAACGATTTCGGGCGTGAAAGTCGGCGTTGATTGGATGTCTATTGAGTCAGACCAGGCAACTCACGAGTCAGAGTATATTTAGTCAGGGTCCAAGAGATCTTGGCGAACGCGCTTCATTCACTACAGTCTGCACCGCACCACAAGAGGGTTGCGCGTATAGACGAGCAGCAAAATGTGCAGCGTACGTGATTCAGCCAAGACTCGCAGACGCAAGAGTCAAAAGTCCTCTGAAGACCAAGACGGAGATGCAGTGCGCGCGCGTGCGAGTGCGAGTGCGAGTGCGAGTGCCCGCATGCTTACTATTCCTTGTCCTTGCCTATCCTTGTCCTTGCCTTGATGAAGAGAGCAGGAATGATGGCGTTGCGCATGATGGCCAACACATGCACTTTGATCATTTGATGAGGCACGAATGTGAATGTGAATGTGAATGTGAATGTGACCATCGCGAATCGAATGGCCGTCGCTCTGAGCCAAGCCCAGCTGCAGCAGCATGCCTCGCATCCCAATCACCAATCAAAAATGCTCGCTCGCATGGTCCGCCGCAGACGCAGTCGCGAATCAACAGAGAATCGTGAATCATGCCACCAACACAAAGCAAAGCAGCAGTGCGGCGCGCGTTCGCGACAAAAGTCCCCGACAAGCTCAAGCGTACCTTCACACTCGCACAACCACAAGGCACGCGAGATTATTGCAGAAATCATCAAGCTTGGGTCCCATTCAAGTCATGCCACAGCAGGCAGAGACAGCATACACGCACTGGCTCGCCAAAGCTGAACCGGATGCACGTATGGAGAATGGGGTAGACGTTTCGTTTGGCCTCGACAAGTTCAAGGCTTGCAAGGATCAGACTACGAGTTGGGAGGGAGTCAGAGCTCCCGAAGCACGAAACCATCTGAGGGATAGGATGAAGGTGAGAGGTGGTGACACGGCTTTGCTGCTAGACCGACCGAGCTTCATCGGTTTCGATAAGCGGGAAATTGACGCCTTCATCCATCTGTCAAAACGACTTATTCTCATGCTCTCAGCTCAATCACAAGGTCTTGTTTTACCATTCCAATTGCAAGCTCCCTGGAGTGGCCGCCATTGCCAGAGTGAGCTGCATGCTTCTCAGAATTGTATGGCAGGCTTGGGCGCGCATGTCTCACCAATGCTTGTTGCCAGGCTAGGTGGTCAAAGAAGGATATCCGGACCATACCGCATTTGATCCAGTGAGTGCCCATGATCGCAGCATCATCCATCTCACGCCTCTTGCTCTCATGCGCGACAATTTTCATTATTTTTTTTGTCGCGCTCCCCACCATGGGCTTAGCAACATCCCTATCACGATTGCAAATCCTCACCCTCCGATCCGAAATGGTACATGGTGGATGTGAAGCTGGACAAAGCGCTGGAATATTTTGTGCCCTTCGCATTGCTGCAACACCTCGCCTCTTCTTCCTTTGACAAGAATGTGGAGCAAGTCAGAGATGTTGCGTACCTAACAGAGCAACACTTGCAAA